ACACACACACACACACACACACACCCAAACACAAGATCATAATTCCTAGAAAGCAAATAAAGTAAGAGGAGACTCGTGGTGCTTCTGACACAGGAACACGCAGCCTCAAAGATGACCTGAAAGATCTCCTGGACGTCATACCACATAAAGAAATTGGTGTCATTGTCTTGGACTATGTTCTCCATGACAGAGAAGTGAGCGACCTTGCTATTCACGTCCAGTCCCCTGAATTCCGGCAACTGGTTGAAGCAGTTGTAAACTCAGACGAGTTGAAAGACGTGAGTATCTTTTTTGAATGGGCTTCACAGACATTAATCTGATGCAGAGTGTATTTTGTTAAGTTCTGACTGGCAACTGTATTCCTGTTTTCTAGATCATCGCACACCTCAGAGACCAAGGCGTTGTAGTCATCAGCCAAGTCAATGAACTGCTTGGCTTTCCTGCACTCTCTCTGGGAGACAAGGCCACTCGAAGGGGTGAAGGAGTCAAGGGCCTTGTTGATGATGTGATTAAAGTTCTTCCTGTTGAAAGGCTGAAGGAAATTTTTAGAGATAAATTGCTCAACAGTGCTGATTTCAGGAGGCTGATTGATGTCATTCTATCACCTGACTTTAAGGTAACTATCCAGCATCTGAATCTTGTCTTTACAAATGTTGACAGATTCCGTGATTACAGTATGAACATCCTTTTGTTAGACCTTGTATTTGACAAAATGTTTATCGTTCTTCTCACAGGAACTTGTACGTAGACTGAAAGCCACATCAGAGTTCAAGGAACTGGAAGATGATCTACGAAACAGGGGAGTTGATCGGGATTACATCATTCAACGCTTGAAAGAGGCCTTTGGACTATCTCAGCGAGGTAAAAAACTTTTTTGTCTCTATAAGCTGGATATTAAAGAATTCCCCTTTTTTTATATCTAGCTGTGTACAAATTTTCTAACTCTGAGTACTCATCATATCTGTTGACAGTACAACACTTTTTGAGTCATAGCCTTCCGTAGATAATTCTAGCAGATCGCATCTGATTTTCACTTCTTTGGATTTCATGACAATCTTTTACAAAGCAATGTCATCAGCCTTTCATCCAACTCCTAACCTGGAGGACCAGATCCATATATTTATATTCCACAGAGACAGGGTTTCCCAGTTCTACCCCCGAGCACTGGGTTTCCTGTCTGTCGCCTTCTACAGCTCGCAGGGCTGCAATGGATGTATCTTAACCTGCCTCCACACAGGGAACTATGAATACTCTATTGATAAATCATCCAGCCTTCAGAGCTCTCATATCTTTGATGCACACTAATAAGTTAGGCACAGACATGAATTTGAATCCGGAAACTGAGAGCTCTGAGTTATTCCAGTTTGATGTGATGTTCATTTGGATACTGAAATCTCCATACCTTCTATTCAGACCTATGCTTCAGGCAATGGAGCAGTCCACAATTATTTCACAAGTATCAACAAAATATGGTATAGGACACTCCTAATATATGATTAAAGATGAATTTCCTTGTCACTGAATAGTCCCTAAATAGTGTTACTCTGAAATGCTATATACAATCTGCAATAGAATACAATAGAAATGGCTCATTACTGATGTTGTGGTCAGTTATGTTGATTATTTAATGCAATTTTTGTTTATCTAAAGATGAATTTTCATGACTCCTTGAATAAATATGAACTTACTTATTCATGGAGCTGAGGCTTTCTGGAGGAGCTGCCAATTCTGCAGCTACTCAAGAATTTTCCCGCATTTTATGGAACCTGAAGGTTCATTACCGTGTTCACAAGAGCCCTCCAGTGGTCCCTATCCTGAGCCACATCAATCCAATCAATACCATCCCATCCTATCTCTCTAAGATCCATTTTAATATTGTCCACCCACCTATGCCTTGGTCTTCCCAGTGCTCTCTTTCCTTCTGGCTTTCCCACCAATAATCTATACGCATTCCTCGTCTCCCCCATTTGTGCTACATGCCCTGCCCACCTCATCTTTCTTGACCTGATCATTCTAATTATACTTGGAGAAGAGTACAAGCTATGAAGCTCTTCTTTATGCAGTTTTCTCCAACCTCTTGTCACTTCATCTCTCTTCGGTCCAAATATGAACTGCTGTATAAATATGCAGCACTAAGGAGTTGGTTTGTTAGATGCAGAAGTTGCTGGTACGTACCACTCTTTCCACAAGTTCCTGTTTACTTTCTTATTATGGACAGTGTTAGCATATCAGGTTACAAAGTGTGTAAAAAAATTTAGTGTGGCTTAGGGAACGACATGGGAGGAAGTGCTCATGACCTAATTNGGGGGCGCGGTGGGGGAAGTGTTCCGGCCCGAATTTGAGGGCGGGGGGGGGGGGGGGTATTAATGTAGGAGCTCTACCAAAGTGTCTGTCCCAGAGTCTGACATGCAACATCCCATAAATGAGGCATGAAAGCTAAGCGCTCAATTCCAACTTCTTATTTGATATCGAAACACAATTTTGCGAAACATGTTTTGTTAATTCGAAAAAGTGACATAATCTACTTATGAGGATACTAATATTTCATATGGTCCAGAATAGTAAATACTGTGACTGCATGATGGAGTTGGTGGTGTGAAGTAATGTACCACAATTACTGACATAGAGGCTTTTGAGAATTTCTGCAGCTGTACTTATATCACTGAAATCCAGTTTTATATATTAGGGGCCTTGAGGGACACTCAGAGATCATGAGTTCACTGAATATGCACACTGTGAACTTGATAAGTTCTGGGAATGAGAGTTACATTTGTAGTTAGATAGAGACCTTCGTAGACTAGCAATGTGGACTAGGCAGTTTTACTCTTTAGAAGTATCCCATGTGCTTCTTTTGGTTAACGTGAACACTGCAGCATGGGATTAGCACATTCCAGTGCTTTGTATAGCTGCCATCTTGTGCTTCTGTTTAAGACTGCTTGATAGAATTCACATCAGCACAATAACAAACATTATCACCATACATGCACACAAACCCATTCATTTAGGTATCATAAACATTAAAATGAAAGTAAATTCACTGGAGCCTTATGATTTCTCTGATGTAGGAACCCGTAACCTCAACGATGACCTCAATGACTTCCTGGCACTTGTACCACTTGATGAAGTTATCGCCATTGTTCTCGACTACCTTGCCAACGACCAAGAAGTACAAGAACTTATTCTTTACCTTCAGTCTGAGGAA